GGTACCATAGGGTAAGAGTCAGGATTTAGGCATTGGTGTAGCTTTATATTAGGCTGATTGTTGGGTTTATAACACGGAACAATGTAGCCCTTTCTAGTATTCTACGCAGGTTACGTCTTAATGATTTCGGAAGGCATTCCAGTATCAGTGACTTTTTACACAACCAAATAAATCCGTTCCGATCATACATCTGTAATGGGGTCATTTACTTTAGTTCATGGTAGTTTGGTTTAATATGACGCTTTCGATTCAACCATGAAATATACCTAAACGGGTTTATGGCATTTGCTTTGCAGACCTGATATACTTTTTGTAACCAACATGAGCTTTTTAAAGATATCTGGTCGTTGAGGCCTGAAGCGTTATCACTATTCTTATCTTTACATCATCATTCTTTGACCTGACACAATTTCTAGCTCAAAAAATGGTATCCAATCTGCAATTTTTCGTTCAAGTTAGAAGGTAAGTGACGCCATTATTACAGAGGACGACCAAAGTTTGAACTATCCAGCATAAAAACATTCTTATCAATATAAGATCGTTACAAATGATCTTTTTTAATGTTTTTTTATAGATACTGTGTTATTGTTTGTACGACTGGCACTATTTATAAGTTGCCTGACGAATTTGCGGATTGTACAAAATAATTTAGTCCTTTGAATTCCTTTGTACAATTGGACACGCTGTCTTCTGGCGGATGTACCTAGAAAAGTAGTAGTTCCTCCCGCCAAAATGCAACATATTCATAAACAACTTACATATTACTGTCTAACAACACGGCCTCTTTATTGCGCGAATTTAGCAAATATCTTCCATTTGTATAGTACAAAAATCCCTTGAAATTAAAGTGTGCTGACAAGCCCGGCAACCATGTAACACGAAGAAAGTAACAATCTGATAAGCATCCCAATTTCTTCCAGTGTATAAAACAGACGTGGAATTCCAATAAGCTGCATGCATTTACAATGTTATGTTAGTGGCATGCTGGCTTAATGCTTATGAAGTGTGCAAGATGATCATCCGAACGCAGAAGCGCAAATCTTATTGGACTGACGTTTTGGATCCTTACTAGAAACCATCAATTCATACGGTTGCAGAAGAAGTTAGCATAGGGCAAAAAGTCCGCAATGCGTGAGGGGCGCGGTTGCGTAGCAACAAAATGGATAATGGATAATGGAGTTCTGCGAATTCTGTTTTGTTCTAAGAATCACTTTGCTAAATCACAGTTCAAACACCTTTCCATTGTTTGAAAAGAATGCGTCTCGACGAACCGATTTATCACAACCGCTTTTTAATAGTTTTGGCAGCGGTTGGTGTTGTTCAGAACTTGCGCCGTATTAGTCGCTTTAGACCACAGCTATCTTTGTGTTATCAAGGGACGTCAAGAAAGACTAGTTGATTTTCTATTCTCTTTCTCCGAAAATTAGGGATTATGTGTATTATCTTATAAAAATGTTGACCAACACACTGAAAAACGTTTCTATTGCGAAAAAAATAACATGGGCATTTAATAGCAGCAAAATTGTTTAACAATCAAGTCAGCCGAATATACCGGAGTTCGAGTGAACTTTTTGCCGGTTGCATTCAAATATATTCTGTAAAAAATAACTACTATTATAGTAGAGATATTTCTTGTTTCTTTTCGATTCAAACTAAACGTTTACTATATTTCATGGAAAAAAACGTATCCTTTATTCACCTACTTGGAGAAATAATTCCGTTTTATTCCACCATAATGCGTGAAGGAGGGGTATTTATAGTTTGCAAGAAGTATTTATATATTCCAATATGTCTGAATTCAAACTGACATGACATCTGCCTTTTTGCTTTCAAAACAATACGCTGTATATTTTCTGCGTACGAAAGACCATACATTTTTCTTGGTATTAAGAGATGAGCGGACATGTTTCTTAAAATGAAGCGGTGGATACGATCTATATTGTTAAATTTACAAGCTGCATAGGTAGATCCGGACAAAGGATGTTTTATGATGGCTATTTTGCGAAATTACAAAACTCCGGTAATAGAAAATTTTTGAAATTGGTTTCTACCTTTTCTTTGATCAAACAATGTTGCTCGATAACGACAAAGGTGTCATCCACACACCAGAAGATCAGAAATTCCATCCATTACAATTATTGTTTAGCTGTGAGTCCTAAAATGAGTATGCCTTTTACATACTTGTTGGTTTTGACTGGACAAAATGAAAGTCAAACGGGAAGAAAATTGGTAAACAGGGATACATGGGACAACGAACCAGACTGCCGAGTAATCTTCGGTGCAAACATCTACAAACAAGGCAAGCAAGGTGTCGTTTTTTTCTTCCAATAGTAAACATTAAACCAATTACGAACGCTGTCAAGGAACACAAGTGCTGCAAAATATAAAAAGCCTGCACTTGCGCGCCAATCCCTTACAATACTCGCCGCGTGTCTTGGACTTCCTACTTTTTTGTGACAGTTTTTTTGATGTGTTCGTGTAAGAATCCGAAACGGCAGACAGACGAAATTCTTGTTCTAGTAATCGTATCATTTCTGTTGACTTGCTTCTTGGAACTCGTCTGTTCACACTTGTCGAATTTTGGTGGAATTTTGCCAAAGCCGTTGGTGCAGTCAGGCTACACATTAATCAAGAAATTACTTTTCGCTCAGAGTAACAACTTTCAAATTAGATCAGTAGTTTATCGCCAATTGCTTGCAAAGTGTTTAAAAATAAGTGTTCATGGATAATGCTTGTCTAAAGCAGTTGTCATGTTTCAGTCGAAAATTAAAAAGACAGGTTTTACATGGATGCCATACGACAAAAACGATTTGTATAAATATCGTCCATTTACCTCAAAGTATATTCAGGAGCGGTTTAGCCATCAACTAACATGTTTTTTTCCGAGTATTTTTAACTTCTAATGCCATCGATTTCAGCGCCGTTAATTAGGGTATGGACCTTTCTTAGCCTGACGTGTAGACCATAGAATGGATTTTACACGGAACAGCATATCGGGCATGCATTTAAAGGTTCACTGGAGAGGAACAATAGAGTTATCGATATTTGTTATGCCCAGATAGCAGCACCTTTAGATTTTCTTTGACAGTCCGGAAATTATGTTAGGCGTCTTGGTTGAGTTGTATTTTCACTGTGGGACATCATTGAAAAATATCTATAGACCATCTAAATCGCCATAAAATGTCAACAGAAATTTTAAAATATAAGTAAGATTAAAAAATAATATTCACGTTTTGTTTCTGTATTAATAATTTAGTAGAAAATGTAAACAACTATTTTAGGCACGCGCGATTACTGGCTTATGCATAGGTATTTATTTGTCGGCCTACCAAACTATATTCAATATAAAGTGGTTATTAAGGTAATGCGCACTGCTCCATTAGTTTTCGACGCCTTTCTCAAAACCACTGTTTCGCTATGTTTTAAATAACAATTTGGGAAATCATTTATTTCCTACCTAATGATCGAAAAAAGTTATATTTTTGCGCATTAATTGTAAGTAACGTATTTGAACGCACATGCAGATGCACCGAAAACCTTTGAGACAATACTCTCGTAAAAGGGGGATCATGTTTTACAATTTTTGTTATTCGCAGGCGACCGGAATGAAATTCGTTTAGAAGCTGAACTTTAAATATAAATAAATTGTCATGGAAATATGCCGCATGTTTATACGTAATGACGCATAAAAGAAGCAATCTTTTCGATTAGCGAACGCATTTCAGCTTTCCGTAAAGCGTTTCATTGGTTGACTATAAGCCATATATTGACAGTTCGACCATCGGTTTCGATTATGTCCACCGTGTGCCCCACAGTTGCAGCAGCAACAGGAGCAGGGAGGGTGACTTACACAGGGGTTTAAAGTGCCGGTAGACTTGCGTAGCATCTACCTACACTCTCTCCTCATCCCTCGCCCGAGCCCGGTGTCAAGACAGAGTCAAGAAGACCGGAGACAAGAGAGGCCGCAGGTGGATGGCTCGGACGGATCCTCACCTTGGCATTCCACCACACCCCCTGGCCCACACAACAAATAACCAGGATTTCAACCATTACAAGAGGGATTTGGAGGCTGGCACGGCCGAAGCCGCACCTGGGCGTGCCGCCAACGCCTGGCTCGGATCCCACACTGTGATGGGAGTGCCATAAAGGCCACATTAAAAAGGAGCCATTGCAGCCTGACTCTCAGGCCGCCTCCGGTCAAGAAGGAGGTCCAATGTACCCCGTCAGTTGGCAACCTTCCAAGCCACGGCTTTTAGCGCACCGTGATAGCTTCAAGCGCATCAGGTTGTTTATAGTGAGGAGAAAGTGCGCTGAGTCGTCGACCTCACTCTCCCTTCCCACTCCCACACCCCAGCCGCTGTCCGAGCCGGTCAGCACACTGGAGTGGGGAATGGGCGCGGTGGCTGTCATGGTCGATTGACCATGACTGTGCGCGCCACAGCACGACCTGGCCCCCCATACACACACTCACCAGAATTTCACACAACGGGGTTGAACGGCGTGTCTCTCACTTGCGTGTGAGTGCCGTGGAAGGTGCTGCTTCAGCCCGTTTCCAGCCCACCAGTCCGCCACTCCACACAATACACACACAACGCGACGAACTGCGTGAACCGAGAGCGGGCGTCAATCAGCAACCTTCCTATCCACGACGCTTGACGTGTCGGGATAGTCTCGGACTCAAGTCAGCCGTGCAGCTGAAGCCGCATGGGGACCGAGTCGAGATGCGGACTTCCCACTTACGTGGGAGGTGGCAGTTGGGTGCATGAGGTGTGTGAGTGTTGATTTCTGGTGGGGTGATGGTGGTGGTGGAGGAGGTAGGGAGTGAGTGAATATGTGGTGTGGCCGGCGGTTGTCTACCGCAGGTCGTCGTGGATGCGCATGTGGCCCAATAGGCTCATGCGATGCCTGAAAGTGCGAGGACTGTGTGGGCACTTAAGACGAGCTTGGTGGGTATAGGTGGGTGCTCCAGGCACTGGTTCGCCAGTCGCCGTGCGATGGATTCACAAGTGACCGACCAGGCCGATGCGTGAGATGAATGTGCGTACACAGTGTGGGCATGAGAAGTCGGCGGTGTCAGTGTCAGCTACAGAGGAGGCGGTGGTGGTGGTGGTGGTTTCGCGGACGGATGGAACGAGGGTGGGGGTGTGCACGGTGGATGCGTTGGATGTGGTGGTTGTGTCGGGAGTGCGGTCAAGGCCGCTCTCGTGGATGCGCATGTGGCCGAAAAGGCCCATGCGATGCCTGAAAGTGCGAGGGCAGTGTGGGCAGTGGAGGCGAGTGCGGTGGGTGTAGGTTGGTGCTTTGAAGTGCATCCGCCGTTGATTCAGCAGGTGACCGTCCGTCCTGTAGGCGATGCGGATCCCGGGGCGTTCGTCGCGGTATGCGTCCATCAGCATGGCAGAGAACATAAGACTGAAGAGGGTAGGCGCCAGTACGCAGCCTTGCTTCACTCCATTGGTCACTGCGAATGCCTCTGAGACAGCTCTGTTGTCCGTGACTCGCGCCATCATACCGTCGTGCAGCTGACGCACCATCTGAGTGAACCGCTCCGGACAGCCGAATTTCTGCATGATCTTCCACAGTCCTTCACGATTCACCGTGTCGAAGGCTTTCGTCAGGTGCACGAAGGTAGAGTACAGGTAGGTCCGCATCTCCTGACACTTCTCCTGAAGTTGACGGGCGGCGAAGATCATATCCATGGTCCCACGATGACGACGGAAGCCGCATTGGCTTTCCGGCAGAAGGCCCTGTTCCAGATGGTTTTTGAGGTGGTTGAACAGGATGCGAGCGAAGATCTTCCCGCCGATGTTTAGCAGGGGGATGCCGCGGTGACTGTCGCAGACTTGGCGATTCCGTTTGCGCTTGCAGAGATGCACGATGATTGCGTCTTTGAAATCTTGCGGGACTTCACCTTGACGTCGAATCTCATGGCAGAGCGCAGTCAGGTGATCCATCAGTTGATGACCTCTGTGCTTGTACACCTCAGCAGGGATCGCGTCCGATCCGGGTGCTTTCCCGCTGGAGAGCTGCTGCACGGCCCTGATGATCTCCTGGAGAGATAGCGGGAGGTCGAGGTCCACGTTGGGCTCCACTTGGGGCAAACGCTCGATGGCGGCGTCGGAGATGACGGAGGGGCGGTTGAGGACGCCTCGAAAATGCTAGGCCCATCGCTGCAGGATTTGCGTCTTCTCAGTCAGGAGAGTTCTGCCGTCGGCGTTGAGGAAAGGAGCGGGGCCCTTCGTCGGTGGACCGTAGAGAGCTTTGATCGCGGAGAAGAAGTTCTTCCATTCGTTGCGGTCCGCGTACCCTTGGATCTACTCAGCTTTGCGAGCAGTCCAGGCGTCCTGCATCTCGCGCAGTCGTTGCTGAAGTTGGCGGCGACTGCGGTAGAAGGCAGCTTTGGTGGCATCAGAGGGATGATCTACGTAGGCTTTGTGTAGGCGGTTCTTCTCAGCTAGCAGATTTCTGATGGCGGCGTCGTTGTCGTCGAACCAGTCCTGGTGTTGGCGGGGAGCGCGACCGAGGACAGCGAGCGCCGTCGACTGGACTGTGTCACACAGTTGACACCAGCGGTTCTCCACGGAGGCGTTCTCGGCAGCGGCGGCGGCGGCGTCGTCGGCAGCGATAGGAAGGTTGCCTAGCCGTTGAGCTAGCTCAATGCTGAAATGAAGATGGTGAGCGGGCATAGACAACAAAGCAACATTCAGCTTACCTGGGGGTCGCTTACCTTGTGGTCTCCTGCGAGGCTGTAGGCGAATACGCATCTTCGAGATGACGAGGCGATGGTCGATCCACCCGTCAGCACCCGCGATCGCCTTCGTCACCAGCACGTCCCGCTGATCTCGCCTCCGGACGAGGACATTGTCCATCAGGTGTCACTGGCGCGACCGAGGATTCCTCCCGGTGGCATTCTCTCGCTCCGGCAGACAGAAGAAAGTGTTCGTCAGGATGAGTCGGTGTTCTGCGCAGGTGCGGAAAAGCAGCATACCATTGTCTTTTGAGCCGCGGAGACCGTGGGGACCCAGCACTACTCTCCAGTCAGTATGGTCTGTGCCGACGTGGGCATTGAAGTCGCCAAGGACAATCAACTTGTCCGCCTTCGACACAGTCGCCATGAGGGCGTGCAGGTCCTCGTAGAATTTGTCTCAGACGGCGTCGAGGTTGGTCATCGTCGGAGCGTAGGCGCTGATGATGGTGGCGAATTTGCCTCCCCAGAGAGGCAGGCGGAGGCTCATCAGGCGATCGTTGATGCCCTGCGGCAAACAGGGCAGTGGTCCCGATATGTCGTTCCGAATGGCGAAGGCGACGCCCGCGTCCCGTCGCTCTGTTCTGGGTCGACCGCTCCAGAAGAAGGTTAGCCGGCACCCACCTCCTCCAGTTGGCCTTGTTCGGAGAAACGGGTCTCCGGTCGGTTGCTCCTCGGATTGTCTAAAAGGGAACGAACATTCCAGGCTGCCAGAGTGAGCGCGCTCACCCTGCCAGTCTGGTGACAACGAGTGGGGCGACGGGAAGGAGATGGAGAAGAAGATGACGAAGGAGAAGAATAGGCAGAAGAATAGACGGAGGTAGAGGAAGAAGAGGTAGGATGAGGAGAATGAGTATGGTTGTTGTTGTCATTGGTATTGTTGTTGTTTCGATTTTGATTGTTTCGACCATGTGTAGACGTCTGCGGCCCTGGCTAGCCTGGAGACGGCGTGGTACCCAGCAATGTTTAGGCCACCTTTTCTAGGCCCTTCCCCTCGTGGGGGCTGGCAGTTCCATCCCTGAATAGGGCTGCCATGTGCCGTTGTGGCACGGCCGAACTCCACTATGGGACCACGACTTCGGGTTGTAGTGGAGAGCGACTAGAATTCGCCGTAAGCCGCGGTCTCCGTCGGCGAGGGTGGGCGCGTCAAGGCGATGTCGATGTGGAGATCCATCCCGTCACCGGCTGTCAAGCAACGTGCAGAGACGAACCACGTCACGACGGTGCCGACGCAAGGTTCCATCCGACCTTCCATCCAGCGGAATCCGCAAACCCTGTGCACACGGCACAGCGCACAGAGCCCCCTCACCTGGTTTAGCCCGCCGGTCGAGACGGTTGCCCGGGGTGTGGCCGCTGAGCAGAGACCAGCTACGTGGAGCCACAGGTGAGAGTTGAGTGCCAGCAAGTGGACGCTAGGCGCAGTCTCACCTGCAAGCAAGTGAGCGACCACCACGACCATTACGTGAACCCACCGCTGACACCCCTACACCCCATAAGAGATACATTACATGATAATATTAGTCCTGCGTTTCAATGCTCATCAGCTGTGTTCAACAAAATTATATTTTTTTGCCTCAATCACATGCCGAGTTTTGTTTTTTGAATTTGGTTTTTGACATGTTTTAGCACGAAAACAATTATCGCTTATAGAGGTGATTGAACTTAAATAACAGCTTCATCTTTGACTAGAATGGAAAATCCGCAAATGATCAAAAGCGCCGCCTTATCACTAGCTCTGTTTGATTTCATCTCTGAGTTAAAATCGCAAATAGTCAGTAACATTTACAACCAGAATTGTTGTGCTAGTCTATGCTGTTTTACATCTTGGGATGTGTTTCAGCAAATGTGTGGTCTTATTTTCTCATCATCGAGTGCAGCAAATGTGCCCATGCATGCTTATTTTTTGCAAAGTACAATGTACGCCGTAATCACCTTAAGCAATTTGTTTTTGCGAGGGCATTTTGATATCAAAACTTCAAAAGTATCACTTTGACAACAGACGATTATATCATTTGACATAGATTCACGAACTCTAGTTACTAAACTCAACTGTACACGCACTGGTTTCTTTAGATAGCAAAGTTTGTTCCAATGCACTTAAATGTATTTAACTGTTTGACGTTAGCACAAAACATTGAACATGTTTTTTTGTAAAATGTGCTTTTTCATGAAACTTATGGCAATTAGCTCGCTCCTTATGCTTGAGCCTCCAACCAAATTGAATATTGTCAACTTTCAGTTAATAAAATGCCTTCATTGACCTGCTTTCTTTAGACTTGGGCCGACAATATTGCAAAATGTTTAGCAATGACTTTGGAACTAATTATGTCGGATATTATCATGAAAAATTAGTTGAAGACTTACACAGCTTAGACAAGTTGTATGTGGTGATAGAACAAAAATCTGACGATCTAAAGTTCGAGAAAATCTCCTAAACTAAGACATTGCAAATGATCAGGTTTTAGCAGATATTCTCAACTGTCTGCCATATGTTCTTCGACCGCTGGCAAAAAAGGAGCCCATGGTGCATGCATCATCCGTATCTGCTGTTTGCTTTGGTGATGGAATCGAGCAGGAATCCAAAACGTAAGCCTAATATATCGTTTGTCCCAGTGATCGTGTCTTTTTACTCATTATGTCTGTCCTTATGTAGGGATGTCGGTCCGGATGTTTAGAACAAGTGGGACATGCAAAGAACACCGTATTTAACAAATATTGTCTAAAAGATAATTGTTAATGAATTGCTTGACATCTGCTTAGCCAATCGGCTTCTTAGCCCACAGCATCACAAAGTATTTCTTTAAGATTCTGCGAAACTTGAAAAATGGCGTTTCTTTATCTAATCAACCATTTTTCTATTGACCGGCAATCGGTGCTAGTTTTCTACTTCGATCTTAGCAAAGCCTTAGCGAATTTGTCCCATGAATACATTTTCAAAGCTCTGGGCAATCATTCGCCTCTAATTGACGTCATGTCGTCTTGCATTCCCAAAGAATATCAAAATAATGGTCAGAAAATGCTTTTTGACACCATAATCGATTAAGAGACGCGTACATCAAGGCACGGTTCTGGGTCCGCTGTGCTCTGTTCTTTGCATCAATGTCAGTTTTACTTGAATCAAAAATTGGAAAACTTTTGTTAATGCGGATTACCTCATGAGTTTTTTTTTATATTTTTTGGTCACAACAAATTTTCGTTTTAAATAAAATTGACAATTAACTACGGCCGTGCAGATGGAGTTCAACATAAAAGATGGCGTTTTCATCATACAAGTGTTGTTTTATATCAATTGGTCCTGCCAATCTTCATGACTTCATTATATTTTGGGATCACATATTTTTAAAATACTTCATCATAAATATACTAGGTTTAATTTACATAAATAAGTTTGCTTTATCGCCTAACGCATATAGAATCTCTGCCAAAGCCGCAGAAATAGATGGGTTCATATTATATAAATTCTTAAATGAGGTAATAAAATGTTTGTTCTTGCAGTCCTAGAATACTGCTTCACTTTCTTTGGGTTAAAGAACGACAAAGAACTTTAACAAAGCAAGGGTGCTCAGTTCGTTTTCATTCGGAAACTGCTTTTTAAACTTCTTTCGATATCGCTTGTGCTTACGGAGGTCAATTAGTGGATATTACGTTTTTATCGGTAAAAATATTTTAAAATGGACTTTGCTTCCTTTTTAACATTTAATTATGCTCCAATCTTTCGCTCATTGACACCCTTATTCTGATAAATGTGTCCTAAGTCTCGCACAACGACTTTTGTTTAATTCCGCAGCCATGTTCATTCACAACTATAAAGCGCTTCCTCATTTTGCATTTAAAAATATCTTCCTTGGTAATACTTTATAGCCTAAAATTTTGTCAGCGCAGAATTTGTCGGTATTCAACTAAAATTTGCGCATACACATTACTTCAGAAGAATAAATACGTTACAATCGTCTATGTTCCAACAATTGAGCTTCGTGATTTCGAAAGGTTTCCTACTTAAATATGGTGGTTGACCAAGAGAAAACCTATACTTTTTTCTTCTCAATTGTTTGTTTTGAAATAAGAGACAAAAACTGCGGCTACTACCCTCCTCCGTAATGATGATTTTTGCGAATTTTCATGTTGTCTTATCTCCAATTCAAGCGGTCTGTCAACGGTTGTGGCGCTAACCCACTGTATTTGCCGTCTCAATTTTGATATCAAGTGAGGTTACAGATAGAGAGACTTCTCTGGTTTGCAGTAAACCATTTGAAGTTTATTTTATAAATGGCATATGGCCTTGTTTTAGTGGCATCTATTTTACGTTCTGACAATTGTTTCCAAGTGCGACAAAGGCGACTTATATAAATACCTCTGTAAAGTATGTTTTTTTCTCATAAGTTTGTTTCTTCTGAAATAAGCTGTTCAATTAAAATTACAGAGTAGGCTTTGAAGTTCCTATCTGCAACAGCAAACTGAATAATGAAAAATGCACAATTTCTGCTTAGATGGTCTTTGAAAATTATCTGATTGGAAATTAAATGCTCTGTCAGCCTACCTCCTGGACACTCATTCAGAATTTTCGAGCAGGTTAAAATAATTACCACTTGAGCTTTGGGGGAAATCGATCGATTGGGAAAACCAATGTAAAGCCCTCTTGCCCTATTTATCACCCATGTATTGCGGTTTTCGTGACTAAGAGTTCAAAGGCAAAGATAATTATCGCCGCTACTTTATAATTTCACCATGTGTATAGAAAATGCGCTAATTCTGCCAATCCATACTGATCAGGGCCATTCGGAATTCATTGTCATCCCTTTTTTCGTTTATCTTTAGTTTTGCGAAAATATGATGTCTATCCCATGGCTCACTAAATAGATCATATGTTTATGTAAATTGCTTAATTAAAAGCATATCTGATTTAGCATTTTGAGAACTTTACGAACCGCATGACTTGATTATGGTCCTTCACTCTGACAGCTCCGCAAATGGTCGTACAGAGACGACCTGCACCGTTTTAATTGATCGTTTGTCAAACGTGAGACCGTCTGAAACCCGTATTTTTTTGTTTGGGTTAAAGAACGACATTTCGCTTTTAAAAATATCTTCCATGGGAATAATTTGTAGCCAAAAATTTTGTCATCGCAAAATTTGTCGGTATTCAAATAAAATTGTGCATACACCTTAATCCAAAAAAATAAATACGTTATAACCGTCTACGTTCCAGCAAATGAACCTCTTGATTTCGAAACGTGTTCTCCTAAAATATGGTGTTTGACCGAGAGAAAACCTTTACTTATTTCCTCCCAACGGCTTGTTTTAAAATCAGAGACGAAATCTGCGACTACCACCCTCCGCCTTAATGATGATATTTATGGGTTTTAATGTTGTATCATCTCCACTTCAAGCGGTCTGTCAACGTTCGTTTCGCTACCTCACTGTATCTGCCTTCTCATTTTTGATATTCCGAGAGATTACAGATACACGGACTTCTCTGATATGCAGTTGACCACTTAAAGTTTATTTTATGAATGACATTCGGCTTCGTTTTAGTGGCATCTATTCTACATTTTGACATTTGTTTCCAAGCGTAACAAAGATGACTTATATAAATACCTCGGTCACGTATGGATTTTTCTCATGAGTGTGTTTCCTCTAAAATGAGCTGTTCAATTAAAATTACAGAGTAGGCTTTGAAAATCCTATCTGCAACATCAAAGTGTATAATGAAAAATGCTCGTCTTCTACTTAGATGGTCTTTCAAAATTATCTGATTGAAAAAGTAAAGGCTCTGTCAGGGTACCTACTGGACATTCATAAAGAATTTTCGAGCAGGCTAAAATGATTACCACTTGACCATTGGGGGAAATCGGTCGATGTGGTAAACCAATGT